CTTCGTAAATTGGATTACCATAATATTAATTCGATAAACACATAGAAAGTGTTTGAAAAAAAAAATACAAATGAAAATATATAAAGTATCTAAAGAATTCACACTGGGATGATACAATAAAAATTAAAAAAAATTAACAAGGGTAGTTTTCTCAATGTGTCTGAGAAACTTAACAGTTACACGTCAGTTGTTAACATAAAAACCTATTATTTATTAAGTAAATTCTGTGCAAGGTAAAACATGATAACAGATATTTCTATAACTAACATTCTTAATTCTATGAGCCTTAAAATTCAAAGAGAGAAATCTCTCATTGATTCGTTGTAACCTGAATCTGAGTCCTGTATCACAAACTGAGAGTTAGTGAAATAAATTACCTTTATTTTCATGAAATTAGAAGAATAATTACCTTATTTACAAGAGCCTGTCACTAGTTCAAAACATGGGCCACAATTTGTTAAAGACACGTGACGTCACACCACAAAATTTCGTCTTACCTAAAGAGGTTACAAATTTATATATATCCATATAAATGCGTGCCCTATGAGAGTTCAAGGACATGAATGCAAAACACGACACACATTTTAGATAAATCTACCGAAACCAGTGTGTACTACAAATTATCATTACGACAGATAAGATATTGCAATTTTATTACAGTAACGACCGCATGTGAGATAAAATTTCTTAGTAAATTTCAAGGCACACCTGAGATCTTGTGGCATTATGGTGACAGATCAAATTTTAACATCCATGTACAACAGGAAGTAACATTATATCTCTTTTATATTTTAAAGTTTTAGCTATGAGACAGACAAAATGACTCAATATATTTCTAAATTCATCATGAATGCGATCTATAGATCTGTTATTTACTCTCTAAAGTAGGTTAATATTAACTAAACCATATTTTAAAAGATTTTTTCAATACCGGGACAAAAATTTGAGTTTCGCTTACGTCACTAGTTTGCTGGTAGAAGGAAATCAAACGCAAGTACTATGCAAACCAAAAACATTACCGACGCATTTCCAGAGACAGCGTGCTACAAATTTTGCCCCCTAGATAGTCATAAGGTAGACAAAAGGCGAGAAATTTCTTCAGCTAGGGTGACTGCCAGGTACCCAGGAAGGCCTCTGTTCAATAGAGTTAGTTTCATCCAGAATTCTTGTGACTACCTTTATATTCTAATTTCCTCTGCGCTCTGTGCTTTTTTCTAATAAAATTCCTTCTTATTTTCTTGGACGATTTTGATGGTCCATTGAGAGTTGAAGGAAATTTGGAATCAGTTTCGTTAATGCATTTCCAAATCAGACTCTTCTGAACAGGAAACTGATATAAAACGTATGTATCTGTACGTTTCTATTGAAGACATTTTAATAAACTTTACTTGTTTTAATTAAATACCAAATTGAATGGTAATTATCTTCTCTCCTGAGTCTTAAGACTTCCTAGTGATACGCTGACCAATTGTACTCCCAATTATAATCTACGGAATGTAAAATGTTTACACTGAATTTGATTTGTTTCTTCAAAAAATCTTTTTGTGATCATTTAGTATTTTTTAAACTTCATAGAAGAATTTTATTTTCGCACGAACACTGGGACTGTGGGTTCGAATCCCACTCAAGGCAAGGATGTTTGTCTGCGTTTTTCTGTGTTATGCTGTTCTGTGTACAGGTAGAGGCCTTGCGACGGGCTGATCCCTCGTCCAAGGAGTCCTATAAAATGTCTAAATAACTTAAGAAGCCTCCCACATGCGAGGGAGGAAGCCAAGGACCGTCGAGGACTGAAGACTCACGGACCAAGCAAATAAGAATGTTATTATCTGAAGATAAGAGATTCCAAAGAAATTACGGGAATATTTATCTATCGGTCATCGATCTGGTAACTTTGCTATTTGCTTTCATTGTCATATCTCAGAACAGTGACCTTGACGATAAGAAATGCGAACATTAGAATATCTACTACAGTCCAATGAACCTACCATTAGAAATTTCGGGCGTACAGTGTTAACACAAATTATCTGAACTGTTACAAATATTTATTTAACAAAATCTAAATCGTGTCGAGAAATTAAACTTCCTGCATTGGAAGGAAAACTTTAAAAAAAAGAATTTTGTGGCTTACGAGAAATGTGACGTAAATCTAAAGATGACCACTAGGAGCGCAACTGTTGATATACCAGAAAATGGAGTCTAATGGAGGAAGTTTTTGGGTGCTTGAGTTCCATTCCCCAAAATTTGTGACAAATTTTAAATGGGGTTTTCGGCAGGATTTTCACAAAAAATACCCTGTGTGGGTATTAATTTCGAAAGTGCCCTGAATTATTTTATTTTGTAGATGCAGTTTTTTTTTTATATAAATTATATATTTTCTGTAACAAGACATATTGTGAGATGTTAGGTTCTCACGGTGGTGAGTACGAAGATACCTATCTTCTGGTTTGTAGCGCGGTGTAGTCTGGTATATTCTTCCAAACTACACGGGACTACAACTTAGAAGGCAGCTATCTTCGCCACAGAAATTGCATGAGTAAGCTCATATTAATTAAAAATCTTCTGTTTGTTTAGAAAACTTCAGATTGAATCGAAGCTCTGAGTGGAAGACATATTACTTACTGCCTATAAATGATATTTTATTATCTTAATTATAAGAAATTTTAAATATTGTGATCAGACGGATTAAAATAAATAATTGTTATAATATTCACAATATGACGCAATTACACTATCTTACTAAAGAATACTAAGAAAATATATTCCAGTGGCTGAGAACTACGATCGTTAAAGGGGAATTTAATGTCCGAAAATCATCGTGAAATAGCAATGATTTTGCTTAAGAAATCTTTCCATGTCAGTTTCAAGATCAGGGTTAATTAATATTAAAGCTTTCCTCATGCATTCGTCTAACCGTTCACGAGTAAAATGCGTCCGAATCTTTGATCTGAAGTTCTTCATTAGTTTACACTGTAAATAGTCTCTTAAAACTGAGTTTACTTACGCACAAGCTGTGAGTCGTTGTTATAGGTCATTGGCATTTTGTTTCGAAATGCCTCATAGGACAATGACCGAATATCCAGAGATTATAAAAAGACGTACCTATATACCTTACATTACACATTATTCTACTTTTAGACCTAATCTATTTCGGTTATCAGGTTATCGATTCTCTAAAACAGGGTTTATCGACTCAAAGCCCGTCAATGCGTGTTCTACGGCTCGAGTAATATCTTTTAATGACAATTACTTGCATTACGATGAAAAGTGTTTATCTGATAAAACCTGCTAGAAAGAAGGTTTCAGAAGCCAAGATTTCGCAGTTTAGCATAAACGTGGCCTTGAACTGGGCGCAGTTTCGCCAGAGCAGATTAAAACTCTGTACACGAGGAAATGTGAGGTTTGGCAAATATTTAATACTAATTAAACGAACTGAGCATAATCTCACACTTGTTTACAAGAAAAATAATTTCCTAACGAACTTTCAATTCACAGTCTACGAAAAGTAAATTCTTTATACTCAGTGGGTTTTTTAATCTTGTAAGATCATATCCTCAAGAAATTCCAAGAAAATTAGAAGATGGCTGGTCTTTAATTTTTATGTTGAACACCACAGTGTTACTTTACGTTCGGAAGAACAAATAATCCTTAAAAAAATATTCTTTTGCCATACAAAGTTTCAGGGCCCTTCGTTAGGTAGCAATAGTTTCGTTTCTGTCTTAGAAGTTAGCTTGGCTATGCATGTAGTGATTTAGCCTACATTTTTATGGCGTAAATACAGGGTTTTATGAAATGGTTTAAAATTTAGTGGATACACAGATGGAGAAAATATATACACTGATACTCTCGTTAGGAAACTTTAAGATGTGTGTCTTAAGATTTGTCTTAAAGTGTCATATTTTGTTTTATAAATTAAATATGAACGAGATAATTATTAAGATATTAAATTAGTGTTTATTTTGTATTACAGCAGGATTTCATACTCTGAAGGCAAGATATAAATTGCACATGGTCCCTACCTAGGAATTTTGTGGTTAATACAGAATGTGCAGATGGAAAATTAATTACTGGTTTGTATAATAAAAAAATAGAAAACGATTAATCCGTCTTCATAACTATGAAGTATCTCTACTTGTAAGAGTGTGACTTAAAAGTAATTACATATTAAATGTGTAAAATGTAGCATATAAAGAAACACTCACCAACACATTCATCTACAGACTCACATTAATATTTATTTGTTTAGGTATTTATATTATATTTTACGATGCTATAAAACCCCCCCAGAATGTAAGCCTCTAGCTTCGGATAATGATTAATAAACTAAAAATCATCACTTTTTACGCATGTTTCAGTTCTAAAAGAACCATCTTCAGGGGTATAAAATTATATACAATATTAATATTTTATATATAGTAATATTTTAATATTTAATAGGAATTTTATTGTGATTATACTGACAAGATTTAAACAAACAAATATAAAAATAATATTTAAGGACCCGGTCGTGGCACTACCCGTGATTTGTCTGGGGATACTGAGAAAAACTACGAAAAACTTCAATCAGAATAATCGGTCTCGATACCAAAATTCAAACCCTGGACCTGCAAAATACAAATCAGGGGTGCTAAAAATTTAATAGAGACGCTCTGTTCCATTACGTTAATATTTAAACGTTATTTTGTTAACCAAATTAAACACTTGTGGCCTGTCATCGTTGCACTAACAGCTGAAGTTTCGTCACAGCGTAGAATGTTACGTGATCGAGACCTGGAAATACCCAACATTTTTAAAATTGTGTTTTATAGTTCCAAGTACGAAATGATAAAACAGAATTCGTGAGTAACTAAGCAGTCAATGAAATTTCAAGCATTTCGAATTGTACCGACTTTGTAGCATAATGATTGTAAATATCATTTAGGATCAACGAACACTGTCGTCACAGACTTATCACGAATTTCTTATCAGCACACGAGTTTCTATATATTTGTTGTGAGACACAGTAACCTACTGACAGACAGTAGTTGCTAACCATAAGTCACACTACAGAAGGTTATCAAGTTGTTTATGCAAGTTGTGTGTTGTTAGTGTTGTTATAGGTAATGTAAGTTTGTAATCCAACAATAAAACTTAATTTATATAATGTTTTAGCGAAATGGGCTAGATGTGCACGTGTCATAATCGAATACCATAGAGAATCTTTTATTATTTTCATTATTATAAATATAAATTATTTTTATTATTATAAATACGTTACTTATTATTATTAATATATTATTATTATTGTTGTTTTTATTTCTATTGATATGGTAATAGTATTTACTTCTAACAAAAGACTTTATACTAAAATTCAGATTCTACGTTGAATGTGTTAAATATAACCTCAAAGATTCGCACCGAAGCCAAGTTTCAAGTTTCTGGTTCATAAACAACATTTCATACGTAATTTAAGGTAATGTATATAAGCTGTATTTATACAAAAAATTAATACGTTTGTCTCTAATGATTGGTTAGTTATCATCGTCGAAATGAAATAAGAATACAAAATTTCGTTGTTCAGCCATCTTGTTATTTGTTACATTATACATAAAAATGCCTTAACATACGTTGCATATTTTCAAAGATGTTTGTCAGAGAATCTCAGACGATGTTTTAAGGAAAGTAATTATGGTAAACAGTGTAAAACTAAGGTGACATCTAATGGCTGTTTCTAAGATTTATAAGAATTTAAAAATTAATTAAATAAAGACACACAAGGTTGTGTGACTTCAAATTCCAAATTTTCCTTAATATTTTAAGGAAATTATGCTAAAAAAAACTATAGATTTTAAAATTATCATTGCTGACGCTATCTTATGTCTGTGGATGTAGCTTCAAATTGGCTTCTACCCCTTTAGAAGCCGATAAATGATATAAACAGACACTAGCGCCCTCGAGGAAAAGTGTACTTACTCCCTGTCCAGACTACTCAGACTGCTTGTAACATTTCATTACAGCGAGAGGAGCCAACTACACAAAGTCGTCTGTTCAACTTCGGTGTAGCGTCAACAGAGGATAGAAGTGAGTCCAGGCATGGGGATAATTTCATGGCTTGCGGTAACGTTCAGCGTCGTCCTAATCTTAATTGGTGTTTTGTATCTATATTTAAATGTGGCATTTTTATATTGGAGAAAAAGGAATTTTCCTTATCTGAGACCGACTTTTCCTTTCGGGAACCTTGGAGTACTTTTAACAAGACTGAAGAGTATGGGAGAAGTATACGCTGACATTTACAGACAGATGAACGGAATGAAATTTGGAGGAGTTTATCTGATGCACCGTCCACAGTTTATTGTCAGGGATCCGGAAATGATCAGGAATTTTCTTATTAAAGACTTCGAATATTTTCATGACCATGGATTTGTCTTCGACGAGAAAATCGATCCCCTAACTGGTAATCTGTTCATGTTGACCGGAAAGAAGTGGAAGGATCTTCGAGCCGTTTTGTCTCCTACGTTCAGCTCCGGTAAAATGAAGATCATGTTCGAAACAATGGTAGAGTGCGGACAAGGGTTGACGGAGTTTCTCGACGAATATGCGTACTCTAAAGATAACGTCGAGATGAATGAAGTTGTCGCAAAATTCACGACAGATGTGATCGCGTCCTGTGCTTTTGGTATTCAATGCAACTGTCTGAAGCATCCGGACGCAGAATTCAGACGATGGGGGAAACGGATGATAGAACAGTCTTTGATGGAATCTATCATAGGGATTCTGTACGTTCTTGTGCCATCTATCCCAATCTTCTTTAATCTGCCCCTGACTTCGAGGAGTGTATCAGCTTTTTTCCGGAAGGTCGTCAGAGAAACAATTGAATTCAGGGAGAAAAATGCTGTCAAACGGAATGATTTCTTACAACTCCTGATTGACCTCAAGAACCAAAAACGGGGAAAGGAAGGTAAGTTTAGACAATTCAACATTCCGATTAATTAATTTTATTACTTTATGTATATGTTACTGGCAAATTATGAAATCCGGCAATGTATATAATGCCTAAAGTCAGTAGGCAAATTATTAAATTCAGGCATTGTACGGAAATGCCCAGAAATTTTAGGCAATGTATATAATGCCTAAAGTCAGTAGGCAAATTATGAAATTCAGGCATTCTACGGAAATGCCCAGAAATTTTAGGCAATGTATATAATGCCTAAAGTCAGTAGGCAAATTATGAAATTCAGGCATTCTACGGAAATGCCCAGAAATTTTAGGCAATGTATATAATGCCTAAAGTCAGTAGGCAAATTATGAAATTCAGGCATTCTACGGAAATGCCCAGAAATTTTAGGCAATGTATATAATGCCTAAAGTCAGTAGGCAAATTGTTAAATTCAGGCATTCTACCGAATGCCCAGGCATTTTATGAAATGCCTAGAAATTTTAGGCAATGTATGAAACTAACAGTTTATTTTATACTTTGCCTAGGTATTCTGTAGAATACCTAGGAGTTTTATAAAATGCCTCAGATTCTTTAGGCAAAGTATATAACATAGAAGTTTCTATAATACGATTTATACAGTTTTATTTTATATTTGCAACAATTTTTTTTTAATTCTCAAAACTTTTGTTATGTTCAGATTCAATAGTTCCCTCTTCTTCATGGTTTTAGCGTTATGTACGTCCCTTAATAGTTCTTCATACCTTTCATCTATGAGAAAAAACACTCTTTTTTTGCAGAAACACGCCTCTTTATCTGTAAGTCACTGTAAAACATTTGTCTCGTGGTGTTTCAAACACCTTTGTGTCGTCAGGCACGCGTGAATAATTTGCAAAATAAAGTAATAAAAAGGAATAAGTAATTGTCATGTGTTTAGGGATGAAGTTAGGTGGGGAAAGTTGGCTCGTGGTTATGAGAATGTTAGTTTGTAGTAAAATCAAAATCTTTTTAGCTGCATCCGAGCTCAAAACGTCACTGCCCTGGTACCTATAAATCAGTGAGCAACTTCTGATGCAGAAATTTGTTTTCATCACAGATAAACCTGGTTTCACGATGGATGAAATAACTGCGCAAGTAATTGTCTTCTTCGTTGGAGGTTTCGATACAACTTCTGTGACAATGAGCTTTTGTTTGTATGAACTTGCAATGAACATGGACGTCCAGACGCGTCTGTCAACTGAGATAAATACGGTGCTGCAGCAATATAACGGTAGAGTCACATATGAAGCCATAAAGGAGATGAAATATTTGGACAAAGTTGTGTCAGGTGAGACGCAGTTATTCATTAAGCGAAAGTTAATCTTCCATAATATTAATAATGCAGCTTCGAGAGTCAAATAAAAAGAAATTGACACATTCATAGCCCTGATGACGGAGGCAGTATGACCTCTGAAACGTTGGTAAACATCGACCAGACTACACAGCGCAACAACCCAGAAGACAGAAATCTTCATACTCATCGCCCTGATGATGGAGGCAGTATGACCTCTGAAACGTTGGTAAACATCGACCATACTACACAGCGCAACAACCCAGAAGGCAGAACTCTTCAAATAAAAATAACTTCCACAATCTTGACATAATAATAAATTTGTGTTTTCATATTGTAAAGTACAACTGTTAACTAATTTTATATTTGTAGGATTTGAGGTATTTGGGTATTAATTTCGAAAGTGCCCTGAATTATTTTATTTTGTAGATGCAGTTTTTTTTATATAAATTATATATTTTCTGTAACAAGACTTATATTGTGAGATGTTAGGTTCTCACGGCGATGAGTACGAAGATACCTATCTTCTGGTTTGTAGGACCGTGTAGTTTCGTAGAAGTTTATCGACCTTTCAGCGTTCCTTGCTGCCTACATCATCAGGCTGATTATAGAAGAAACAATGACCTTTGAAACGTCGATAAACGTCTACCAGACTACACGGCGTAACAACGCAGAAGACAGCCATATTCTAATTTTATAATTTACAAGAAATGTGTATGTTGAACTCAGTAACATTTCTGGGACGCATATAATTACATTACGCAAAATGAAATTTTCTAAATATTTTTAACTTTCGTATATTCGTAAATTGACTTTACAGTGCCAACAAACAAACATAACGCTAGATATTCCTTCGGAAAGGTGAAAATAAAAATATGGGTTTATTTCCTTCCCTGAAATTACGTATTTTCCATTTGATATGGTAAAACATAAATTCTATATACAGTATTTTTGTTTAGAATAGATCAGATATTTGAAGGGAAACAAAATTAGTTAATTCAAGTGCTTCTGAAATCTCAGTTTAAAACTTTATCAAGACATTTATGTTAATAAATATGGTGATATGTTTTCCAACATGTAAGTGTTTACACTACTAAGTACAATCTGGAATGTCCTGATGATTACAGAACATAGCCCACACCTAAACAATCTTAAATCCACTAATATCTTTATTTTTGTGAGTGAGAAGGGAGAAAATATTGGCAATTTTAATTAACAAGCGATATTATTTTTATCAAATGTACAAAATCCTAATCTAAACGTGTTTCGTCTTTACTGTAGAGACACTGCGCAAATATCCACCAGTAACATTCCTGAACCGCCACTGTACCAAAGACTACAACATTCCTGAGACTGACCTCGTCATTGAGAAGGGAGTCCAGATGGTTGTGCCTGTCTTGGGGCTGCACAAAGACCCGGAGTACTTCCCCGATCCAGAAAAATTCGATCCTGAGAGATTCAATGAGGAAACAAAATCTCGTAGGCCAAACTACGTGTACCTGCCTTTTGGGGATGGACCCAGAGTTTGTATAGGTAAGTCATTATTTATTTAATTAATTCTATAAAGTATTTTTAACTTGTATTTGACGACAATGTAATATTTTAATGTGATTAAATCAAGTAAAATGGAGTTAGAATTAAATAAGAAATGTATAAACAAATTTTGTTTGGAAATTGTAGATGAAAAATGTCATTTACTATACATGTACATGGATGAAATGATGTTAAAATTGATTTTGGAAAATAATAATCCGAAGTTCTAACCTGGATAAGTTCCAGAAACTTGATTTTGTAAATACTGTTATGAACATTTTAATGTCATAAAATCAGGACATTTCTTGCCAAATAGAAATTAACAATTTCTTATGGAAGATTTTATCAAGTAGTTGATTACTTCGGTGTGGAAGATGTAAAAGGAATTTGCAGCTTGAAGTTAGTTAGATATAATGAAATTCGTGAAGGTTATTCTACACAAATTTGAATATTTCTTGCAATAGACTGGACTATTTTTATCAGTTTATACTATCTGAGTAATATTTAATTTAATAATCAACGTGTCTTACTGATTACCATATTCAAGCCCAATTATTTAACTTACTTAGACGAAGTGATACACGCGGTATAGGTTTTCTATAAAAAAAAAATGCCTTATCGATTCTTAGACGCCATAATATATAAAACGCACCGCGATTTCAGATATTTTAAAATGTGAAGAAAATACATTTTAAAGTCGAGGAAATAAGGTATTTTACTCTAACTGAATAGAAGATCTGGATTTGAATTATTGGTGATTAACACGGAATTATTCATAAGGAAGAAAAGTGATGAATGAAATGGAATGATGATATTAAATGATGACTATGTCAGGGGTTTGGAACAAGTAGCATCTGTTCCCTGAAGATGTGAGTGAGAAATTATTAAGTTACATTAAGTGCAACTTAGCGGACAAAGTTTTAAGTAACTGTAGCGTAATTTGTGAATCACTATCACAGACTTCCAGAGAATAAGCTTACGTGTGGTTTGAAAATCACTAAAATATATCTGGATTACGTCTTCTGTGTTGTGACACAGTGCAGTCCTGTAAGGTTTTAGAGGAAGATCCGGGTTTAAAAACCTGGGAAGTGGATTTCGAGGCCCACACAAGTATTAAATTCGATAAATAATTGTAATTAAAAAAACGAAATATTTTTGATGTTTTGATGAATAGTATATGTGCCTTAACTCTGGACCTTAAGAATTAGTAATTAGTACTTGTCCGTTAGCTTGGTAACCACCGACAATATCACACAGTCATAACACAAAGACTACAATACAAATTGTTACCTTCCAGAAGAAAATGGCGAGTATCTCACATAAAACATATTTGTTTACTGTTTCAGGAAAACGGTTTGGTGTAATTCAAACCAAAGTGGGACTCGTGTGTCTGCTGTCAAAATATGAATTCCAAGTTTGCGATAAAACTGCAGATTCTTTGAAAATAGACCAGAGAAAATTTATCATGACACCAACTGAAGGAGTGTGGCTTCAAGCCCGTTACAGATCAGATCCGTTTTAAATCTAATCCTTTTTCTACCCTTAACATAGGTAGTGATTAACTTATGACGCTTTATCAGCTGCATATGGTATTTATAAAATGTGAGCTGAGAGGATGATTATCAAACCTTGGAAACTATGAAAAGGGTATGAAAAATAAGTTTCATTGCCACACGTATTATCCATTGTTTGCCTAGAAGTGGTATTTAAAACTACACGAAACCTGTCATGGCTGGTATATGGATTAAAAATCAAAAGTTATGGTCTACTAAAGCCCTGTCAATAATACTACATAACCTCAAAAGCTTCATTAACATTGTTTGCGTTTATTTATAACTGTAATTAACATATGAAGGAACATAACCATCAGTTTCAAATTATTTGGGCGTTGGTTTAAACTGGGAAATGTTTAATTGATATATATGTTTGCTACCAATTACAAATAATAAGAAAATATGTACATATGGGATACAGAACGTAAGTATGAAAAATGGAGAAAAGTTAAACAGAAATTCACTTATTACTAACCACAAAAATGTTAATGTCAGTCTTCATTGAACAATACGTGTTGAAATCACAATTATTATTTCTGTATATAAGAATAAAGGCCAAATATTAACTTCCTGTCAGAGATAAGCCAATTAATTTAACATAATTATATTAAGGGTTAAATTTTTATGATTAAATATGATTCTATATAGGCCTGCAAAAATCACAGATGTAATATATAACTTTTATGAATTCTGTCTTCGATGCACTTATCTGAATTACATCAAAATATAAAAGGTAAATGATATCCCAAAATTTATATTATAGGGTGAGGGGTATCTGTTGTGAAATCTATTTCAGTCCAAGAATAAATAATTTTGATTACGTTCGTGGAAATCTCAGACTCTAATAAAAATACGAACATCGGTCTGTAAATATTTATTGCCATAAGAATTAACTAAGATATTTGAGATAAGTTTGACACTCAAATATTCCATATCAAGACTCTTAATACCATGTCAAAGGCACTTAATAATATGCAGTATTACATAAATTAATTATAAGAATAAAGAAGCTTTACAGTTTCTAAGACATAAGAATTTAATGTAATTACAAATGCCGATAACAACTATAATACGGCAAAATACTGTGTACTTTGGTGTGTTCAAATATATTCCATTGTAACTGTCAGTTGTGGTTCGGAAACACGTAACGAGTTATATCGGGCATGGCGTTCTAACTGCAACTTTGTGATATTAGTTTCTTTAAAATGTTTCATCTCTTTCATTGTCATTAACTACGAAAGAACGTTAAACCAGAGAACATATAATAGCGCTTGTTAGTTTATAAGTCGATGGAAATATTAGCCATTTTTACTTATAGGTGGAAAGGCCTTCATATTGAATGATTTTGTGCAGAGCCATGTTGATAGCACATTAAATTATATATAGTTACACTTCATGTAATTAAAGTAGAAAATTAAACAAATTTGGTAACATGGATTTATACAGGGAATATTTTCCGAACGTTATAATATAAAATGTTAGTTAAGAATAATTCTTAGAATATAAAGTGTTTTAATAAATTCTTTCTGTCAATAAGAATAGAGTTTGTTTTTAATTTATCTTCGTGGTCTGAGGGTCTGGATGACTAAGGAGAGATTTTTTTGAAAAGATACTTAACCAGCTGGTCACAAAATACCACCCTTTCATTTAATTATATTTCTCCTTTTTCTCATAGAACCCTGTATTTTGCGTCATTATCGAATCCAGTTAAAATCTTTACAGTATTCATAAGACATTATTAATGCAAACGTAATCATTTGTACACAAAATTTTAAAAACTTTTACTTATCTAATAATTTCTTCAAATAGTACGAGATAATTAGGAGATGTGACACGTAAAATGGACAGGGTTTGATAAATAAATACCTGCCATATTTAAAGCTAAATGAAAGACATCCAGTCGTAGGTGGGAGGATAATATTAATATAGATTTTAAGGAACTAGGGTGAGAAGGTGTGTGGATAATGCTGGCTTAGGATAAGTTGAAATGGAAGGATTTGTGAACACAGCCATGAACGTTTAAGTTCATACAATTAAGGAAATTTGACTGAGAGACTATAAGCTTCTCAAGAAAGACTTTTCTCTCTGTAGTTAATTTCTGTTTGATTTAGAGAACACGAGAAACATTAAATATCTTGACGAGATCCTTTGAACTAAGCACTATCTGAACCTTCTTCCATGCACAAATCAGAATACGTAAGCTAAATGTTTACAACTCCATAAATAATGAATACACGAACATGACAGGCAAGTTGCCATATTTTATTAAATAAACTTTAAAGGACTCCTCTTTTCCTCAGTCACT